TCTATTTCTATATTCATTTCTTCAAACTTTTTGTTATATTTCTCATCCAATTCTTTAAGGGAGTTATTCATATCCTGTTTAAGGGACTCTATTGCTTTCATAATGGCACTTTTTTCCACTTCTTCTGGGTTAAGGTGTTCAAGTTCTTCTGTTGTAGGGTCCTTGGGATCTGGTGTTTTCATGTTGTTTTTCAGATTGTTGGATGAGGTCTTGCTTTGGCGTCTGCCCATCTCTTACTTCAAATGTTCTCTATTGGAACTTCTGTTACCGGGTCAGGTTCCCTTCTTGGGCAGGGACTTCACTGACAGAATGCCCACCTTTCCTCAGGCAGGCTACTGAAGCACAGGCACTCCCTCTTTCCGGGATGCGCTTACAATGCAGGCTCAGCTTGCAAGGCAGCTGAGCTGGGGAAAATTTTATGGCCCCAGGGGGAAGGGAGAAATATAGGAATTCGTACCTGGATGGGAGCTGGGATGGCAGGCGGGAGGGGGTAGCCAGCACTGCAGGGCGACCTGGGCGTCTATGGGTTCGGGGAACGCCCAAGCTCCTCCTCGCCGGGACCCTGCCATGGCCCGAAGCAAGCTCACCCCACCGATGGCCCTCTGCTAGAAGTCAGGGCCCCTGCTGGTCAGTAATGTGGCTGAGCTGGCACCTGGTCCACTTGTCCTCAGGGAGGCCTGGATGGGAGCTAGGATGGCAGGCGGGAGGGGGTAGCCAGCACTGCAGGGCGATCTGGGCGTCTATGGGGTCGGGGAACACCCAAGCTCCTCCTCACCGGGACCCTGCCACGGCCCGAAGCAAACTCACCCCACCGATGGTCCTCTGCTAGAAGTCTCAATGATTTATTTTATGAGTTGTCTTGGTCATGGAGTTTTAGCACAGCCACAGAAATTTAGCTAAGAACTACCCACCTGCCTGGGGCTAGTAAAGTCATAAGAGATCTTAGAGAAGAACTCACTACTCAACTTTACTAAGCCAGCCTAGTTTCTAACTGAAGGGACACTAGCCCACTGTAGTCTATGCCTCTGGCAGTCTTTGCCCTTCTGCCCTATTCCCTCTGCCTTTGCTAACTGTTAGATTACCATTCTAAATCTGGCCACCATGGTCTATTCCCTTCTTTGGCCACTTCCTTCACCCGAGACTGACTACCAAGATCCAGCTACCAAAGAATTAGGTTCACATAATTAACATGCCTAAATATTCAAGGTCAGCACTGAAGACATGGTTGTATGTCTGTGTCAAGGGCAAGGCTGTATGTCCAACTGATAGCTTAATTTGTCAATATGTAAAAATCAAGTCTTGAAGGTTTGGAAGTCTTAGAGAGCAGCTGAGGTTTGCTGCCATGAGTCAAGGGCAAAGTTCCTTAGAAAACCCGAAGGGTCTATAGTTCTTTGTTCAGGGGGTGGGCCTCTTGAGATTGTCCCCAACTAATTGGCAACTACAGATTCCCAATCTCAAATATCACACAAACACCCTGATGAGTCTCAGCTTTCTCAGAAACCCCAAGCCAAGCTTCTTACTGTCTGTATTTTTCTCAGCATTATCTTGAAAGCACCCACTGTAATGGTCTGTCCTGTCCCTTTAAGAAACAAGCCCCACCCACTCCAGCCTGACCATCTCTTTCTGTCTCTCTCCCAAAGAGGTAGCTTCTCCTCTCCTCTCCTCCCCTCCCCTCCCCTCCCCTCCCCTCCCCTCCCCTCCCCTCTCCTCT